TCTGATCTGTTGCTGATAAACTGATATCTGTTGTGAAGCTTCACGGTGTATCTGATTTGCACGTATAGCTGATTCCTGCGCGGCCGACTTCTCGCTTGCCATGTAGGATTTCATCAATGCAATCTCCCGCTTCTGCTCCATGATAGTTCCTTCAGCTTGTCTCATCTGTTGCATTATAATATTCGACTCCATGTCTTTCTTCTCCCCGTACTGAAATGCGTTCATTTCCACCTTGCGCATCTGTTGGGCTTCTTCCTCAAACTTGCGCCATGCCTCAGCCATGTGGTGTTGGTGGTGACTCACTAGATGTCCCGACTGCTTGCTGGCAATCTCGCATCGTCTTTCCAGCTCCTGGATCCGGATGGTGCTTCCATAGTCTTCTTGGTTAAGATTCGCCATTGCTGCCGACATTTCATCAAGTGTCTTTTGATATTCCCCGATCTCCACCTCCATCTTATTCTTCTCTTTGATCACGGCGCGAAAATCTGCACTGGTGGGTGATTTTGACCTCCCACCCTTCGATGTCGATCTCACGCCCTTCTGCGACGTCCGTGGTGTCGCAGGCGAAGATGATGATCTTCTCGGTGGGGATTCTCTTTTCTTCGACTCCTGATGAACATCGATCTGCTTCCATGATCTTGTGGGAGTAGATATGTCGCTGAATAGCGCGGAACCTCCGCTCCCAGGTTCATCCTGTGAATCTGCAATCATATCCATCACCGCAGGAAGAGCCATCAATCCATTGGATCCCTCTGAGCTGCTGTTCCCAAAAGTTGCAGTACTTGGGCTCGCCGAAGACGCCATTGTACTGTGTAGGTTATCGTTCCTTTATTGTCCCTGTACCCGCAATAAACCAGCTGTCTCCCAGTCCAGTGTAGAGCTTGTAGTTACGGCTGATAACCTGTCAAGAGACGGCAAGGTGACGTCCCGTGGGACGCTATGCACCGAACCCTCAAGCTGTAATACCAACCACGTAGAAAGGTGTATACGGACGATGCCGTTATAGCCGAACCCGTGTAAACGTTGTAAGGGAGAAGGAATGATAGTTACAACAGTGGTCCTGACAAATGCAGCGCAAGCGAAGTGTTTTCCGCTCTTAATGCCGATCACGTATGTATACAGTCACACATCAGATCTTGAACCTCAATTGTGTCTTGAGCCAAATGGCGATCAATGGAACTTGGGAAGCAACACCAACAAGGACCTCAGAACTGCTACCCAATTTCGGCACGGGGCCTAGAGGGTTTTAACAGTTATCATCACACTATCATGCTGATGGTCGTCAAAGTAATAGTTTTCATCACAGGCCTCATCCTTATCATCATTGTCATCACGGTCATCATCATCTCTTATTAGGCAGCACTGGTGATGCAAAGGATGCTACGATGATAGTTATCATCACAGTCATCATCATGATCATCCTCACCATGATCATGATGATGGTCGTCATCATCATCATCATCATCACTCTTCTCATCATCATCATGATAGCCACCACCATCTCTTTCTTGTTCTTATATGCATTTCAAAATTAACGTTACACAGCATTGGCAATGCAGAGGATGCTACGATGATAATTATCATCACAGTCCTCATCCTTATTATTATTATCATCACTGGTGATGCAAAGGATGCTACGATGATAGTTATCATCACAGTCATCATCACGATCTTCCTCATCATCATCATGATGATGGTCGTCATCATCATCATCATGATGGTATTGTTCTTATATGCATTTCAAAAGTAACGTTAGACAGCATTGGCAACGCAGAGGATGCTACGATGATAATTATCATCACAGTCCTCATCCTTGTCATCATTATCATCACGGTCATCATCATCTCTCATTAGGGAGCACTGGTGATGCAAAGGATGCTACGATGATAGTTATCATCACAGTCATCATCAGGATCTTCCTCATCATCATCAGGATGATGGTCGTCATCATCATCATCACTCTTCTCATCACCATCCTGATGGTCATCATCATCTCTTTCTTGTTCTTATATGCATTTCAAAAGTAACGTTAGACAGCATTGGCAATGCAGAGGAAATGCAGTGAAAATGCTACGATGATAGTTCAAGATTCTCATCATCATCAGGATGATGGTCGTCATCATCATCATCATCACTCTTCTCATCACCATCCTGATGGTCATCATCATCTCTTTCTTGTTCTTATATGCATTTCAAAGTAATGACAGCATTGGCAATGCAGAGGATGCTACGATGATAATTATCATCACAGTCCTCATCCTTGTCATCATTATCATCACGGTCATCATCATCTCTCATTAGGGAGCACTGGTGATGCAAAGGATGCTACGATGATAGTTATCATCACAGTCATCATCAGGATCTTCCTCATCATCATCAGGATGATGGTCGTCATCATCATCATCATCACTCTTCTCATCACCATCCTGATGGTCATCATCATCTCTTTCTTGTTCTTATATGCATTTCAAAAGTAACGTTAGACAGCATTGGCAATGCAGAGGAAGCTACGATGATAATTATCATCACAGTCATCATGGTCATCATCATCTCTCATTAGCCGGCACTGGTGATGCCGAGGATGCTACGATGATAGTTATCATCACAGTGCTCATCCTTATCATCATTGTCATCACGGTCATCATCATCTCTCATTCGGGAGCACTGGTGATGTAAAGGATGCTGCGATGATAGTTGTCATCACAGTCATCATCAGGATCTTCCTCATCATTATCATGATGATGGTCGTCATCAGCATCATCATTACTCTTCTCATCATCCTGATGGTCATCATCATCTCTTTCTTGTTCTTATAGACAGCATTGGCAATGCAGAGGATGCTACGATGATAATTATCTCATCACTGGTGCTGCAAAGGATGCTACGATGATAGTTCATCAGGATCTTCATCATCATCATGATGATGGTCGTCATCATCATCATCATCACTCTTCTCATCACCATCCTGATGGTCAGCATCATCTCTTTCTTGTTCTTATATGCATTTCAAAAGTAACGTTAGACAGCATTGGCAATGCAGAGGATGCTACGATGGTAATTATCATCACAGTCCTCATCCTTGTCATCATGGTCATCATCATCTCTCACTAGCCGGCACTGGTGATGCCGAGGATGCTACGATGATAGTTATCATCACAGTCCTCATCCTTATCATCATTGTCATCAAGGTCATCATCATCTCTTATTAGGCAGCACTGGTGATGCAAAGGATGCTACGATGATAGTTATCATCACAGTCATCATCAGGATCTTCCTCATCATCATCATGATGATGGTCGTCATCACCATCATCACTTCTCATCCTGATGGTCATCATCATCGTTAAACAGCATTGGCAATGCAGAGGATGCTACGATGAAAATTATCATCACAGTCCTCACCCTTATCCTCACTATCATCATGGTCATCATCATCTCTTATTAGCCGGCACTGGTGATGCCGAGGATGCTACGATGATAGTTATCATCACGGTCATCAAACTGGTTGAGCCAACGAGCTACATAAACAGGTCCGATCATTTACGCAGGACAACCATGTTTGTAGCATCCAAAAGGAACGTGTTGCTTGTGCTCTGTTAGCGGCTGTGTTTGTTTGAGGGTGCCCTTCTTTTGGGTTGCCTTAAAGGCAAGCCAAAAAGAAGCCAGCCCTCTTTGGAGTACTTAACTGTATGGGGTCGGCGGCACTGGGCGGCAGCCCTTAAATTTAACTCTTAGTGGTTGAATGGAAAACCCATTAGTTGACAAAAAGCTACAGTCCTAACATCCAATCAAAATGCACTAAAGAAAGTATCAGTAACAAAACAAAACAAGGGATTCACCAAGAATTCAACTCAAGAAAACATGGTTTTCACCAATGATTGTTGAAAGTTGCAATAGCCCATCCTGAAGTTGGACTTGTGAGTGGGACGAGAGCTTAGGAACGTGACCAGCTCCCCGCTTCTTGAGCATCAGTTCTTTGGGAAACCCACTCCACCAAGCCAAAACCCACCCTTTTGGGGGGGAACGTGGAATCCTAAACTGGCAAGTGCATCCTGGAATCCCCAGGGGATCCATTTACCTGGCTTTTGTACCAAGGGAACTACCCTGTCAAGACCAACAGGACGAAAATTGACTGGCTACCTACTATAAGGGTAACTGGGACAGGGTGCGTTGAAGGACATGCTAGCTTTCGCGATCGGCAATTGCATGGAATTCAATAACTCCAGCGAAGCCCTTGTCGGAAAAGAGTGCCATCGAACAAAAAGCAACACATGTTGGTCTTTGTTCGGAAAGGGGAACAATATTTTGAAGGATCTTTTTTTGTGGAAGGGCAACCTCTCTCATCTAAGCTTTCCGGTTTTGTTCACCTTTTTCCGTTTGTTTCCGCCTTTGTTCCGTGGTTGTCCACCTTTGTTTTGGCCGTCCAAGACGGACTTCGACAAGACTGAATAACGACACACAAACGGCTTCGGTGACAAAAGCCATGTGGGTAAATTACTGACAATTCACAAGGCAACCTCGGAATTCTTCAGACCCTGACGGTTGTACCGTTGTCAATTTGTCGCTCCATCAAGCGAACCGCTTTCGATTTTGTGAACGCCAACATAATCAGGGACCCACCTGAGCATTGCCTTGTAAATGGTGGTTTCCCTTTATTTTGGTGTTGAAAAAGCAACATGTTTCAAATGGTTGCAAAATGTATCTTTTAAGGAGCCCTGATAATCCCGGCCCTAAACCCGCATGCCGTAACGTCAGTTTGGTGCAACTGCCAATAACATTACCTTCGAAGCTGGAGGATCGCTAGTGGCAAATGGGCGCGCGACATAATCTTCCTCTACCCAGACCGTCAAACTACCCTGAAACATGGGAGTTCTCGGAGTTCACCAACCAGAATGTTGGGGCTACAACCCCAACTTTAAGGTTTGCAGCACGTTTTCCAGGTGACACCTCCCCATCTCAAAAGGTTCCAAGTTGAGAGAAAGCAGGGTACGACGCAGGCTCCTCCAAGGTGTACATGTCGTCAATAACTTTGAAGGGCGCATTGTAGTGACTGGCGAACAGGCTGGAGACGCGCAGGGGTCGGAATGCTTGCCCGACGTGCAACCATTTGTTCCCCTAGGGGTACAACCTCTACATGGCTGGACCCCCTTAATTGGTGTGTTTCCTTTTTGTTTTCCTGTAAAACCACCAAAAGAACGTGCACCCTCGAAAAGGACAGGTCATTGGGCCATGGGCAAGACAAGAAAACCGCCACGGAAGCATCTTCTCCACAGACCCCCCTCAGGGGTGGCGGCCAAGGGCCCCTCTCTAGCGATGAACCCCACTGCCACGCCCACTAAACCAGGTGCCGACCCCCCACTATTCCTATGCGGTTGATTCATCCGGGGAAACCCTTCAGGCGAACGCCCCCTCCGAGAGCCAGCGGAGCCATCGGAAGGTTGGAGCCGCTCCAAACCAGAAATGGGGAAGCAAGGGAAACAAAATTGATATGAAACAACAATAATAACCACCTGGATAGCCAAGTTGCGAAAAAGCTTTTCTCAGTCACTGTTGCGCTCGGTTTTTGGGGTTTTCAGTGTATGAAGAAGAAAAAACAAAGCGATCGCAACTGGCGATCCAGGCCTCACGCACGAATCACGGCCCGCATGGTTCCGAAAAGTTTTCGGGCTCCAAGGGCTTAGTCCATGAATCACCCAGATCGCAAGAATTTGTTTTACCCCTAAGGCTCTCTGGGGGTTGGTGGCCAAAATGGAACTGGGCTGTTGCAACCGGGTAGAACCAAAAAGGCCAAAACCTAGCGAGTTGAATGGACACCCCGACTAAATCAACTGAAAGCCTAAAAACCTAAGGAACCAAATGACTGCAAGACCAAAACGAACGGCTTCTTTCTTTTGGTCCGGGCACTGTTTGTGGGTCTCGGGTGTGGAATCAGAACCTTTTCAGCCATAGAAGCAAAGAGAAGGTAAGAAACAAACAGGAGTATACCTGGACCCGAAAGAACTACCCCCCAAACAAAAGAACGTCACCCACCATGTTGGGTTGTTCTAAGCCAATTTTAAGGGCATTTTGAGGGTCCAGGAAAGACAAAGTTAGCCCAAGCCGTGGAACCTTGCAACTCGCCAACGTCATATAAGAGCCTAGATTAAAAGGCCTTCGAGGTATGAGTTGTGGCTGACATAGCTATGTTGTGTGTGTGTGCTTGTTTGAGGTGTACCCCTTAAAATTCAAACGGACATGAAAGCAATGGTTGGGTTCATATAGCAACCATTGTTACCCAAGGATTGTCATCGTCCAAATTGGGCCCCCTTGGGACATTTTGTTCATAGGGGCTCGACCTACTGTGTATGGACGAAATCCATTTCGCAACACTTTGAAACAATGAAAAAAACATTGTTTGTTGGTTGAAATACGGTATTTGCAGGGGGAATCGAATCGTCCCGGGTTCTCTCCGGTGGTGCGTTGCATGGATTTCGCAACCATCAGTAGGGTACCCACATCTCCCGGTTCCGAATCCTCTCGAGCCAACTCACAGCCACAGCTGAACGTGACCTAGTGGGTCCATTCATCCCTGCCCCTGTAAAAAATGGAATTGGGGTGGGGGAGTGACCCCTGAAATTCCGTTTATGGTTCTGTTGTCCTTTTTCATGGACGCCTGGAGGGGTGAAATTGGGGACCCCACACACCCCTCCCCCGGAAGGTAGGTCCATCCAATTACTTGGTTTTCAAAATAGCCAAGGGCTTGCCAGCCGTCCAAAACCCGATGGACAATTCAATGTTGACCCCACGTTGATCAACCCCAGTTTCTTAATAGGGGTCCCGGCGTCCCCGGGTTTAGTGGGGAATCAAAACACTTTTGGAGGGGCCAAAACCACCCCCGTATTAATAAACGTTGATCCATGTGGGATCAATACCTACTCTACTGCTACTCTACTGGCTTAAGCTCTTGAATGGAGGGCTTTTTCTCGTTACGGTGAAGACTGCTGCCCATGGTCCCCCTTCCCTTGGCTCTGAATCGGATTTGGAAATATACAAAGTCACCCTAGGATTCACCCCCGTAAACAAAAATGGCAAGGACCCGATTTGGATGATGACAATCCTTTGGAAAACAATAATGGTGGTTACATGCCCCCCCCAGCGATTTCCTCGAAAACGCAGATTCCCCAATCCCAAAAGCCGATTCTTTCACGCACCCAAATGGGTCTCTTTTTGGGATTGTTCTGCTTTGACCCCTTCAATGGGGGGTCCTATCTGATGCTTAGGATTTTCGTTGACCTCTTAACTTTACATCCTGGTGTCCCGTCTTTTTTTGGATTTGGACCCCCAGACTGGCTTTTGGGTGTCCGGTTGGCTTCCCTTCAAGAACCACCAAAAACGCTCAACAATCCAGCAAGCGGTCTTGTTGTGGATTTCACTTGCTCTTGCCTTGATGGCCTTTTTCTCATAATGTCCGACATTGCTCGGCGTGTCGGGCACATAAGAGAGGATAGATAACCCCCCCCGCCCGACGTCTGATACGTAGGGTACGGGGGGGCGGGGGGGGGGGCGCCCACGTACCGCGCGGTAATTTGATGACGTTCCACCAAACGTAGTCTTCGGGGAGCCGCAAAACAGGGGTCCCAGGCTCAATTCCCCTGCCGGCTCTTTGCTGGTTTGGGGTTCCTGCCTCCTTTTGCCGAAAATCTGGGAAAAACTCCGTGTTTTTGGACTTTTGCAAAAACACTGGAAAAACCGCGTTTTTTTTGCGGGAAATACTGGGGAGCAAGGAAATGAGGGGAGGAAATAGGAAGTTGACATGACAGGAAAGCAACGGGAAATGAAAGGGAAACAAAGGGAACAGAAAGGGACATGCAAGGGACAGAAATGAAAACAAGGGGAGTGCAGGGGGAATGAAAGGGAAACAAAGCACAAGGAAACCAATCGGCACGACGGGAGATGTAGGGAAATGAGTCGCAACGAAAGAACGGGACATACGTGGAAAATGAAGCGGACATACCGAGAAAATGTCAGGGACATGAAGGGGGAGTTGAAAGGAATGGAAGGGACATGACCAGGACATCATGGGGGGACGTGACGCTGCAATGCAGAGAGATAGAGAGAGAGAGAGAGAGACAGGGAGAGAGCGGGAGAGAGAGAGAGAGAGGGAGAGAGAGAGAGACAGAGACAAAGCCAGAGCCAGAGAAACAGCCAGAGAAAGAGACAGACAGAGAGAGAGAGAGAGAAAGAAAAAGAGAGAGACAGAGAAAGAGAGACACCAAAAGACAGAGAGAGAGAGAGAAAGAGAGAGAGAGAGAGAGAGAGAGACTAGGTCCTCCAGTAGAGAGGTTAGAATTAGGGTACCCTTTTTCTGTAGAGGAGCGTGGACAGGAAGGAGACAGGGAGACAGAAAGAGACAGAGAAACAGAGAAAGAGAGAGAGAGAGAGAGGGAGATTGAGGAGAGAGAGGCTTGGGGGGATGGGGAGGATGGGGAGCAGAGGGAGGGAGAGAGGACGACAGAACACACGAGGGAGAAAAGGGAGAGAGGAAGAAGGAGAAAAGGGAGAGGACAATGTCGGCGGACTGAGCCGGAGGCTCTAAAGTTTTTACGTCCTTGACTTGGCAACGGGGGGATCGCCTTTTCCCAGGTAAAGACACAACAACCACCATATATATATATACATACACATCACCCCGCCAAAAAAGGACATAACCTTCCATTTGAGTCCGGCAAAAGGCAACCATATTCATCCAGTGGTGTCAGAGATGTTCCCTTTGAAGCCCATAGGGGAAGATATTGTCAAACAAATCTTCATTTCAGGAAGTGGAAGGTCTGGATGCTTCAAAGGTGCAGGGAAATGCCGTAGGTGGGCACGATCACATAGCCGAACTTTGCAAACGGCGCACCCATTGTCTTCATCACCTAAGCGTTAGGTTAGGCAATGTAACTTCCCCCTCCCAAATACCCGTCGTTTAGTTGGTATAAACGAATTGTGTTGTTTGTATTTACGTTGGTGAATCGAATTATTCCAGGGTTTCTTGGGTGGCGCATGCAGACTTTCGTCCATCCAACAGTATGATGTCAAGCCTCTACTAGAAAGTAGGAATTTGCAATGGGAACCCAGGGTTTCCACTAGAAATACTGTGGATGGACGAAATCCTGCACCACCTAAGAAACCCTGGAATGATGATTCGCCTGTAAATACCAACAAGCAATGGCTTCCCATGGTTTTCAAAGTGGTGCGAAATGGATTCCGTCCATTCACAGAACTAAAAAGGCCAAGGTAAGTTGGAGCCAGGAATTGAAGTAGCACCGGCTCAGACCCAATACGCCCAATACGCCGTTTTGTTGTTGGGAGGGGGAGGGGGGAAAAGAGCCTTGTACCAAAGGGGGGTAACATGAATCTCGGGTGGATTTAAACCAATTGAGTCAACTTGAATCGAAGGCAGTAGGTACTTGGGTGTTCGATTCAGCAAGTTAAAGTGGGTAAGGTTGTAAGGGCGCATCCTTGAAATGGGTTGTTTTTGAATGCCCATTTTGGGGTTAGAGAAGGCACTTCTTCTTTGTCAAGGCTCCGATGCAACTGCTTTGTGGCAGAAACAAGTATGCTCAGGGGCCCTCGCGTACCCGTTGCTTGAAGCTTGGGCCGAGGACGACCAAGTCGCTTCGGGTTCTCGTTGGGGCTCCGTATGAGCTGTGCTTTGAGGGCCCTTGAGAGGGAGCCGGTTGGTTCTAGTCGTCTCGGTGGCGAAATATGAAATCTGGTAGTGAAGAACTTGTGGTTGAATACGGAAAACCCAACGAAGTTGGCAAAAAGCTGTGAACTCCTAACTGGGCCCTTGGCAACATGCAGCAAAGTTGTAACTGGGATCCACTGGCTAGGCTTTTGACCCACTTCGCCTCTGGAAGTGGGTCCCTGTGGCTTCTCTCCCAGGTGTCCTTGGCCACGTAATTCGCCAATCGAAGATCCAAGTAGCAAAACGCGGACGTTCTTGTGCTTCAAGCAACGGCAACCGAACTGCAGTTACCTACCTGGAGTCTCCTTGTGACCCTTAAAAAATGGTTGGTTCGTCCAAATGGTTGGTCATTGACCCATTTTGGATTCGGGTCAGAAGGAGACTCCAGGTACCTCACTCCCCGCTTTCCGCGTGCTTCCGGTTCCCGCAAAACAGGCGCCCGAGAATTCCTCGCAGCCATCGCCTAAAGGCTTCCAAGAAAAATCAACTCGATTTGGACCCGAAAAACCTCCACTAGATCCTCCAGCTTTCCAGAGGCCCCGATCGGCTTCGGCTTATGGAAGACCCCTCAGCCCCTCCATTAGACACCCCGGGAATTGGTGGGTGGGGGTGTCACCAGGTTGTTTTGGAGGCCCTGAATCAATCGAATTGGAGCCTCTGGGTAGAGAGGATAGAACAAGCGTACCCGACTTCTTTTTTTGTCTGTAGTCTATTATAGGGGAACCCTCCCCCAAAAAAGAAACGGTAAAAGTTGGCACCTAGCTGGGGGACCTAGACTTGGTTGACGTTGAAAAGGGAGCCAAAACATTAAATGTTAGCAGCCAAGTGGGGATTTCCCACTAAACCACAACAAGCAAAAATCTAAAATGTTTCCCAACAACAACCGAGTAGACTACCAAGGCGGAATTCACCGTAGATTTCGGGTTGCAACTCGAACAAATAAGTTGGTTGTTTGCGGGTTCTGATCACCTTACTTCGAATGTGGTTTGCGTTTCGGTTGCGGGGTTGAACCAAAGCGAATGGGGCCCCAGAAAACTTTCTGATAACGCCGTCGAATGGGTTTGGGGCCCGCGAATTTTGAATATGTCTGCGCGCTCGCCCGCCCGCCCGATTCTTAGCTTTCAGCTTTGCGGCTCTGAACACCAGTTCTTTGAGCAGGAAGGTCCCCGTCTTGTGGAAACCTGTCAAACGAAAACGAAAATCGGACATGCGGACCGACGCATTAAAAAAACGGTTGACCTGGACCCCCCCCTCCCCCCAAAAAAATACCATCTATAAAAAGAACAAAGTTAGGGGGAATTTCACCCATTCCATTTTTTGTTGGGGTGCAATTATTCATTTAAAAAAAGGATTTCATTAATTCCATAATTTTGGGGTGCACTAACCCAGTTTTAAGTTGGTATTTTGAGGGTTCAGGGGGCCCTTCTGGTATCCCTTAGAGCCATGGGTCCAAACAGAGCCCGAAATCGCGCCTTCGACCTCTCGCAAAAAACAAGATTGGCGGCCGGTCTAAAACTGTTCCTTCCATTTGCTGAGAAGTCCACTGGAAGAATGAGAACCTGGATCCTCAAAATACTCCTTTAAACTGGGCTATTGCCTCAAAATTATGGGCGGTGAACTCCGTTTTTAAGCAAAATATTTCCAGCACTAGGTGAGCATTTATCGAAAGTCCCCAAAGAGATCCGATCAGCTTCTGGCAATGGCAGACTTTTCGGGCTCACCTCCGCAACTTTTAGGCAGCCTCTCGGAGAGGTCTTCTTTCCCCTACCCCCTACTCCAAATACCATTTTGTTTATTGTATTTAGGGTTCGGGCATGGTTACAAAGCCAACCAACCCCAGCTTCCCCCAGTTATAACTAGGTCCTCCAGTAGAGACGTTCGGGTTTAGGGTACCAGATTTTTCTTTTGTCTATTTTAGTAGGGGAAGCCTCCCCAAAAAAAGTTGGTCAAAGGGCACCTAGCTGGGGGACCTAGTTTTGTTTGTGGTTCCCCCTAATTTTTGCTGCCCTAACCATTCCATTGAAGGGGTCACGGTCTCCATTGCGAGGTGTGGGACCTCAAAAAAGGCCGTTTTGAGGGCTCGGTTGATGCTTACCTGGAGACACATTTCATATATAGTTTGTGGCGATTCCCGGATTTCTGATATAGATTTCCATTTCTGATATAGATGGTTTCCCAAATAACAACAATTATAGAATGCTACATTCAAACTTTCAATCAGCAGCAGAGCACGCGTTTCCGCGATCAGGGTCCAAGGGCAGTACGCGTGCCGGAAGCCCGCTCATGCCCAGCTTGATCCTGCGAGGCCACGAATGCGCATGCAAAAACAAACGTCCTTCTCGTTAGCGTCTTCTTGCTCCGCATCATCTTGCCGCCACACTTTCCTGTGAACTGCGTGGCGAAACATGTCAGCATGCGTGGCATGACATGCGTGACGTGACGCGCGCTATTGTGCGTGACCTGCGTGACACGTGCGTGCATGACGTGACATGCGTGGCATGCATGGTTCAGGTTTGCCGCACAGCGCAGTCCTGCAGAGCAGTACCAACGCCTCATCCATCTTAAGGCAAGAGGCCAACAAGCATGCGCTGCAGCGCCGCTGTGCGTGCGTTGCCAACCTGTTATAGCTAGCTGGAGAGTCTGGAGAAGCAATCGTTGATTACACGCGCGCGCACGCCTGGGAAGTCGGCCGCCGTGCGGGTGGAGTCTGCAGCTGCAGCTCTGTAGGTGCAGCCGGCTGTGTCTCCTCGAGCGGGCCTTGCTTCAACTCGAGCACGGACTTCAAGCGCTTGCGGAGGCTTCGGAGGCAGTCAGTCGCGCCCTGCTTCTTCGCATTCGCCGTAGGCGCGCCGTCCGCGACTGGCTCCGGCTTTTGGGCGCAGCAGGCTGGCTGGCAGCTGCAGGCGCCGCCGGGTCGACTGCAGCGGTGCCGCTGGGGTGCAGCAGGGGCCTGTTCAGCCGACATCCCTGCGCTGCTTCTTGCTTCTGCGTTTGGGTTTTGGCTTGGGCTGCGCGGCTGTTGCCGCAGCAGGATTCGAGGCAGCAGCAGCAGCGGCCTCTGCCTGTGCGGCCTTGAGCATGGCTCCGGCAGTCTCCACTGAGATCCCCATAGCCTCTGCGAGTTCTTCAGACATGGGAGCCCTTCCCTGCAAGCGCTCCTTCAACTGCTCCATGGCGCTGCAGCTTATACGGTCGCTTTTCGGACTGCGCTTGAGCTAGGTCGGCTGCAGCGTGTGCGAATTTCGCTCTGCGGGATGGCGGAGGGGCTGAAGCGCGCATTTCGCGCATAAAAACCGCTATTTCGTGCATAAAAACTGATATTTCGTACATACCTGCAACTTTGGTTCCATATGGCCCCAGGGACCGGCGCACCTCGGAAATGTCATCGTGGGAGGGCTCCGAAAACACATTTTTTTTCTATGCGCGATTTTGCGGCGTCTATGCACGAGTTTGCGGCATCTGTGCGCGAAATTTGCGCCCCTATTTTTTCCAGCGCACGCAGGCGTCCCGTTCGCTTGCTCTGCTGAAGCAGGCCATCCCACAAGCCCCCGGGCTTCAAGTGGCGGCTCTTGAGCAAATACTCCACAGCCTCCGGGATTGCAGCCTGTCTGCAAACCGAGACCTCGAAACTTAACCAGCCAGTCATGTCCTGCAACTATAGAGCTAGCGCAACCAAACAAGCAAGCTTGCAGATCGCTCCTGGAACAGCTGTCGATCTGTCCAAGTGCTTGGGACTTGCGCAGGCTCGCGAGGCAAGCAGTTGGGCTCCTGGCGCGTCGGCTGTGTTTCTGCAGTCTGCCGCCAGCTGCACTTGACGCATGAAACTCGCCTGCAGGGATCCTCGCGCGCCATCAGACATGATGAAGGCCAGTTGCTGGCCAAACTCCTTTGTGTAAGCCTGGCAGGGTCGGTGCTTTTATAAGGCGTGAGTTGGATCGCGATGAGGCCGCGGCTGAGAGTTCCGAAGGGTGCTGCCAGCCTTGCGGTGTCTTGGGCATAGTTACCCGCGCTTATAATCAGAGCCAAATATGGCAGGCCCCACGTCGACGCACAGCTGGCAAGCAACATGGCGTGCAAGAGCGCGCGTCACGCGCTCTAAGCTGCAAGCGTGTAGAAGACCTCGAGCTATAGCACCAGCAGCGCCTGCGAAATTCATCTCTCAAGGGCAGAAAAAGGGAAACTGAGGCTCCGGCCGTGCGTGAAGTACTGCGTGTACGTGACGTGAATACAACGTGAACGTGAGTGTGACGTGAACATGCATGACATGAACGTGAGCGTGACGTGAGCATGACGTGACATGCGTGTTCGATCGTGTCACGCGTGTCGTGTTATGAACATGCGCAAAACGCGCATGCGTGGCGCGCGCATGTGCAAGCGCAGAGCGCGCACGTTTTCAAAACTTAGCTTAATCCGCGCGCGCGCACGCCCAGGCCTGCCGGCGCCCCGCTCCATGGCTTCCACCCCACCTATTGCCGCAAAGAAAACAACAGTCAAGCCGTGCAACGTTATGGGCTGCAGCCATTTGCGCATAAACGCGCCCGGCGCCCTGCAAGCGCCGTCTATGATGGCAAAATGCCCGACCCCACGGTGAGCCGAAATGCAGCTACTTACACGTTGGAAAAACGAACTGCGAGCCTGTGACCCGATAAGGCTGACACTCAGACTCATCGAAGGCGAAATTAAGTCAAATCTGAAAATCTATAGACGAAATTGCCATTTCTGATATAGATTTAAAACGAGCATCTAGCCGAATTCTATGTCCGAAACGTGTCTCCAGGTAGGCTGGTGCGAGAAGGAATGAGTCCCCAGCTTTGTTTGGTAGTTCCTGGACCCTCAAACTACACACGAAACAAAACTGAATTCACCAACCGCAATTTTGGGGCAGGCAACTCACCCCATTTTCAAGTTGGTAGTTTTGATGCTCGGTCCAGGTGAAAAAAAGGAACTCCCTCCAAAACAGAATATCTGAGCACTGGAGCTCTACAACTCTTGGGATGGGCTTGCAAAAACTGACTGTTTTCGTTGCAGCCCCCCAGCAAACATGAACAGAACCCCCCCTAAAAAAAAGAAGAACGAAAGAAAAGCAAACAACTTGATCCAAGAGCAGTGAAGGGAGGCCAGGGCAAGCCCACGCCATTTGCCAATTGTTTTCTCGAGGGTTTCAGGGACGTCCACATCAAAATCTTCCCTTCCGATCCGCCCGGGTCCAGAGCAACCCGATTTTTGGTTGCAGATCCAAGGGGACTTTGGACATGGTTGAAAAAAATATGTTTGGTTTCTTTGTTTGTTGTTCTACTCTTCTTTTTTATGTTATTTATTGATTTGTGTTTTTGTTTGGGGGTGGATTCTGGTGCAGTTTTTTCTCTTTGTATTTGGGGCCGGGGTGTGTGTTTCGTGAAGACCCTAAAAGGTTTGAACCCCTTGGCACGTGGCATCCTCTGAGCCTTCCACGGAAGGATATTTCTAACGCAGCTCGCCGACAAGCGAAAAGCCCCCCTGGAAACAGACCAACCTGGAGTCTTTTCTTCTGCCCCCAAGTGAAAAAGAGAAGTCATGACCCCTAAATTTGGGGCGATGACTCTCATTTTTGCGAATGGAGACTCCAGGACTCTGGAGCATTGGGAAGCGCCCCAGACCTCGAACGCTGCTCAAAGGCTTGGGGACCTGGGAACGCGATTCGAGCCAGGAATGCCTGAGAGCTTCTCAAGACCTGGATCGCCCGTGGCGTTTTCGCTTTTTTTCCATCCGCTTTGCCCCAAAAACATATCGCAGCAGTGACTGGGGACAAAAAAAAACAACAAAAAACACATCCGCTTTACCATCCAAAAACCGATTGCAACAGTGACTGGGAAAAACAACTAAAAAGCCTTCGCAACTATTGGCTATCTAGGAAGTACTGTGGATGGACGGAATCCGCTTCGCAGCACTGTGAAACCATCGAAAACCATGACGTTTGTTGGACATTTTCCTAGGATCGAATCATGGCGTCGGGTTTCTGAACCGTGGTGCGTTGCATGGTCGTCCATCCACAGTATGTCTAGATTCCCTTTCAAACGACCAGGGAAAATATGGTCAACATGAACATGCCACTTCAGCGTCCTCTTAATTCGTGGTTTGGTGGGTTGGAACGGAAGGGGTACCTTGGTACCTTTTTGGTGTAAAAAGGAGGGACTCAGGGGTACCTGAGCATTGGTTTTTTTCGCCTGGGAGAAAATATCAAGAAAGTATGTCTAGAAGTGATCGATTCAAACTTTAAAACCAACAAAGGAACATGAAACATAATCCTTTCAGCAAAATTGGCAGGAAACAACAAGAGCCTTGTGGTTCAAACCCCTTCCCAGGTAGTCTGCTGACCCGAAAAAAGCTCAGGCGTTTCCCACCATGCATTACCCGTGGGATGTTGCAAAAAAAAAAAAACAACAACAACAACCAGAAACCCTGGATATTTACCAGGATTTCCCATTGTTCCCCAATGTTCCCCACTTGCAATATGTAAGACGTAATTTGCAAAACCTCTACCCTTGGTTGAACTGAACTCATCACTTGGTCAAAAAACAAATGATGGAAAAAACGGAACCCTACAGTAGGGCTTCCACCGTAGAACCCACTTGGACGATTTTTTCCCCAGGGATGGTTCCCTGCTTTGCTTTCGCCGGGGAGCAGACCCCCGTGAAGTTGCGCAGCTCCCAAGGCTGCTTCACGATGCTCTTCTCCACTTGTAACATGGACATGGAGAGGTCCTGAGGGTCTCTTCTGGACCCGAAACAAACTACCCAACTACCCTAAAGGGAAGTCACCCGGCCCCTATGGTTGAGGTACAACCCATTTCTACGTTAAGGTAGTTCTTGAGGGTCCTACCAACCCCAAGGGGGGGGGTTGAGCATAGAAGTTTTGTGCCAGACCCCTGGTCGTGGTTGTCAATCTCCCTACATCTGCGAGAAGTGGCTGATTCCCATCCAAGATATCGCACCCAACTTCCAAAAAACATGAGGGTTGAGGCATGCAAAGACTTCAAGGCCTTTTGTCTGAGGATCTCGCTCCGTGAAGAAACATGTGTACTGGTTGCACGACTCCCAGTGGATCCCAGGCAAGCCACTCTAGCAGGTAACCCTTCGATCCATTTTCCTTTTGCCTGGATCGCCAGTGGCGTTTTCGCCTTTTTTTTCCATGCACTCACAACCCTCCAGAAACCGATCGCAACAGTGACTGAAACAAAATATCGCAAATTGGCTATCCAGGTGGTTGTTAAAGGGGAAGCCCGGGACTGAGAGAGTGGGTACCCACGCCTTGAGACTTTGCACTCCGAAGAATCAGGCTACCTACTGCACCTTACATCCTCCAGATTTGAGAGGTTAGAAGGGTACCAACTTTTTTTCGGTTTTGTCTATTTTTAGTACGGGCTTGCCCTCCCCCAGAAGAAAAGGGGCGAAAGGGCACTACTGGGGGACCTAGTAAATCATGTCCATAGGTTTCTTGGGATTTCGTCGCCCGCGTCTGTTCGAGTCGCCAAGTTAGTAAGTTGTGATCGGAACCTAAGTTATTTATTCGCTTATACGTCCCCTGGTCAGCAAGCAGTTCACCTCCCTGGTGCTCAGCAGGGAATGAACAAAATCATAAACCGCCCCCTAAGGTTTCCTTTAAGGGAATCCCTGGGTTCGTTCCCACCTTCCCTGCTGAGAACCAGCAAGTTTGGTTGTAACCCAGGTGACTCGCGTCGGATTCCAGATCCAACATGCCCTTTTACGGGTGGCTCGCCTTCGCGGAGTTGGACCCAAATGGAGTTGGCGTGTCCCTCTGCGTTCCCTTGAAAAAACCACCAGAAAAGGGGGGGGGGGCCTCAAGAAAAGCCAGCCGCATAGTACATTTATGGCAAGCACCTGTTTTGAAGTGAAGTCAACGTGCGCACTTGCGCGCCTGCAAGAATCTGCACCAGATCAACCACCCGGACGGCTCATGAAACCTCGCCCTGGGGACCCCAAAGCGATCTCGGGCACCTTCCTGTAGGTTCAGAGCTCATCTTCCGCGCAATCTTGCGGCCAAAAAAAAACATGTGTCAGCATTTGGGCTTGGCTCTCTTTTTGTAGCTTGCAACTTACCCCGAAACGGGGCAACCCGATCGGATTTTAAATGGGAAAAGAAGGACTCGGAAGAGCTTTGAGTCCAATGGAGTCACATTGACCAGCCACTTGATCCAAACTTCCCACAGTCCATGGCTTGAACGCCTCAAGGCCCCAATGACAACGGAGGTCATATGGAAACCAAACAAATGGCAACGGAGGTCCTTCTGATTCGGGCCTGGACACTGAAACTACCCTCAACACCTGGTTGTTGCCTCAAAACACCAGAAACAAAACCGTGGCTGAGTTGTTGCCCTAACTTCTTGGCAGATTGGCTGCTTGCTTGGTTCTCCCCCCGGCTTTTTCTGTGCAGTTCCCTTCAGGTGCGTTTCCGAAACCTCGAAGCCTCGGAAGGGACCTCGAAGCCTTCCGGAAAAAAGAAAACACACGGAACAAAACAAAAAACAACTGACCCCTTGGAAGGAGGGACTACAAAAAAAACTGACCATAAAAATAAAACAAGAAACAACTCAAACCATTGGAAGGAGCTGTGCCCAAAACAACTGACCCATCGGGGGTGTAACTAGGGCAACTCGGGCCCCGGTTCCCTCACCGTGGCTATGACCCAATTACTTACCTGACGTGGGCAACGAACATCCAAGAACCCCCCCCAAAAAAAAAGAACACGCACTTCCAGCCTTTATCTTCGTGCGTGTGTAAGTTTAGTGGGACCCCTCCAAAATCACGACAAACCCCAGCATTTAAATGTTTGCTTCGTAGAGAGTGGATCGTGGGACCAAAAAGGACATGCCGCCTCCCATTCTGCCGCACCAGGGCAGACCAGCGCCAGCAGAAAGAACAGCAGGCGCGCCATGAGTTGCGCAATGGGGAAAAGGCAAAAGCAGCCTTCTTTGTCCCGAAAGAAACGAGTTGTCCGGATTGAAGTTGGTGGAAGTGTCGTCGCATGCCGTTTTTCGACGTGGAGGGTTCGGTTGGCCTGAGCAACGAAGCAAAGGCGCGTCGCTGACGCAAGTGCACACTCACCTGTTCAGGAAGTGGATTTGAAGAGAAGAACACACCTGGACCCGAAAGAACTACCCTTAAAAATTTGTTTCAACCCCTAAAATGTTGGGTTGCTGGAGTCCTTTTTAGAGGTATGTTGAGTGTCCTACCGCACCCTTGTTTTGTTCCCCCTACACCCAATACCCACATTGTTCACACTGATAGGGCATGATGCCAATCTTTGACTAAAAAGGGATCGGTACTTACCCTAGAAAACCCAGGGTTTTCTAAGTAGTTGGATCGTACGCGCGTTAACACCCTTGTGTTGTTGCTGATTTCAATCGAGACCCTTTCCAAGGGCCATGGAAATAACAACCAGTTTGCCATTTGGACCCGAATGAGAAACCACTCCCACTAAAAGAATGGCGGAGGTTCAACCCATTGAACAAATGGCAAGGACCCGATTTGCATGACAAGCTTTAGCAAACTACTTGGGTCTTCGAGCTGCCCAGGTTGGCAAGTTGTAACAGTAGCCTACTTGGATGTTCGATTCGCCAAGATAGTAGTGGCCAACAAAGTCCACCTGGGTGAGATGACCCACTAGCAAGGTTAAATCCACTGAACGGGGACTTATAAGCAGGTTGTAACCGAACGGAAACCGTTGCAACTTACTAACTTGGCGAATCGAACACCCAAGTAGGCTATAACCCGCTCAAAGTGGAGGCTAAGCACTCGGCCACGAACATCCATCTGTCCAAACAGATCCCCTGCTAAACAAAAAATAGCTGGTGGATTAAGCGGAAAAAAAAAAACACTAAACCAACTAAAAGCACCCAAAAACCGAACGAAAATGGATCTTTTCGTGGGGTAAACCCGGAAACCCAACCAGCAAACCAAGCAAAGCCACTAAAAACCCTAAGGAACAGGACGATTCGCCTTCTGGAAGCGCCGAATATGGCGGAATGGTCTAACCGAACCTTTGTTATGGTAGGTGTGCCGGACAGGCAAGCAGACCTCAACAAAGGTGGGGTGGGGTCCAAATTGACCCGGTCAAATTGGGCTGGTGGAGGAACAAACTGCTTTGCCCGGTGGTTTTAGTGGTGGTACCGGGATATACCGGGATACCAGAAACTTTGTTTGGAGTCTCAGCCGGCGAAATCACTCTTTGAGGTGGGCTGGCCAACCAACAAGTCTCGGCCGTGCCACTACAAGAGTCTTAACTTAAACCGAAAGTCCAAGAACTCCGGGCGCGAGTGCACCTTTGAATGAAGAATCCAGCAGCCCATTTTGGAGGAGATACGCGCACAGGGCGGGCACTATACACCAACCTAAACACGAAGCGGCCCTGGAAAAAAATCGACTCGGCACCTGTTTCAGAAGCGGCCGTTGATTTCAAAGGGGCACCCCCTTCCAATGGAGGTTTGGGCATTTTAGCTTTCCATCCCTTGGTATGGTAGCAACAACCTTTGATTTTTGTTGCCAGCCCACTAAAACCGAACAGAAACTGACCAAAACGAAGAACCTGAAAACAAATGCCAAGAACTGCTAAAACCTCGGATAGAGTTCAGATAGAGTTGTGTGGCACGCGGCTCCCCCAAAGAAAAGTAGTCGCTTTAGAGCGAGGGGCCGGTGCATGTAATCATCAGGATACAACCAACAGTCATTAAATCACTCCAACACCCGGGTTCCAACAACTGCTTCTTCAACCACCCAGACGCTCTCTCGAGACCCTTCTAGAAAGGCTCGAATCGACCCCGAATGGGAGACGCCAACCAGGAAATGCCAACTCGAAGATCATTCTCTTTTACTTGGTTGCTGTTGACCCCTCTGCAAAAAGTTTAACTTTTGGGGGGTTTAATGGAAAACCCCTTGATTTCCCAAAAAGTTAAAGTCTAAAGATCCAAGCCAATAGCAGTCAAGTTTTAGTCCCAGGGAGTAGTTGAGCAATTCGTTTGGAGCGTTTGGGCATATCCCAAAATTCTCTTGGTATCGTCCAAAAGCAGTGGTTGGGACCCGGCTGGCTTTCCTCCTAACAGAACCCACCGTCCCTTGAGCGCCCGAGCTGATGTCTTGGCACGACTTCTGCAAGGTTTAGGCCACTCTCAAGACAAAAATGTGTTAAAATGTTGGTTCTTGTTGTTTTTCTTCTGTTGAAGGGTAGCTTGTTCGGGTCCAGCTGGTGTTCCTCTTAGTTTCCGTGCAACAGTGGGAGTCGCTTCATGAGAACTCCCAGGATCCCTATATACCATAAGGCTCCCCAATTCCATTTCCATAGCCGGACTTGTTGTGTTCCCTACCGCACGGTCACTGCGTGAGCATTCCGGTGGTACCTGGTCGGATCTGAACCGCCCCAACTTTAGTAGCCCGGCCAGTCTTCCCCATAAAAGCAAAATACAATAAATGGAGATCCGCAAAAGCCACTTGG